TTCAAACATTTCAAAATTACCACTTGGCGGTCTATAGATAGTACCAACGATAATATTTTTACCAGTTGTTAAAATAATTTCAATGAAAAGCGTTTCAATTATTCCATCCTCGTTTATATTCGGGTCAGTTCGTAGTTTGTAGTTTAAACTATTTGAAATAAAAAATCCTACTCCGCCGCCTTTTCTATTTTCCCTGTTAGAACAAATAAAATCGAAATTACTAAGATTGAAATTTTCACTATTTTTGTCATTAAGCCAAGTTTCAGTTAAACTAATTATAGAAAAGGGTTGTTTTAAAGTATTTAGTAGATTTCTAAGCGAGTCAAACTTATTTGCTATACTTCTTATATTCAGGTTTAGTATTGATAGTTTTTTGCTATCAGAATTAATTGCAGGAAAGTCATTTGGTAGGTATAATAGTTGCATGTTAAACAATCAAGATTTTCCTGCATATAATTTTCAAAATGTCGAGCGTAAGTAATATTGTTATCAGAGTCTAGAGGATTAAACTTGAGTTGTGTTAGTCTATCCATAACCTCATCGCATGGAAGTCGATTAAAATTGCCAAAAATAAAATGGAATTCTAAGTCATCAATTGAATAAAAAGGAAGCGAACAACTTAAGCACATGTTGCATATATCAATTTCCGTTTGATGACATGTGACTGGTAATTTTATGCATGAGGCGCGAGTATGAAACCGTCCCCCGCATGTGAGACACTTGATGCTTTTTTGATTTTTACTGATTTTAAGAGAACAGGTAGAACATAATTCCTTATCTAAACTTAGACTGGCCATATCTGGTTATGTATATATGATTAAAAGTGAAAAATCACTCTATACAAATATTAGTAATGTTTGAACTCGACATTGTTTATATACAACCTGTCTCGAACCATACGCACTCTGTGACCTTGCGCTTTCGCCTTCTTCATTTCGGGATATAATGTTTGTCTAATCTTTTCGATTTCTTCGGGAAATTGTTCCGCGATTCCAATGCGTGTGCCTCTGAGTTTCCTGGCATTCATTCGAATTTGTTCGCGATCTTGAAAATAGTTAAATTTCACAACGATTGCTCTCGGCTTACGGTTGCTATCACGCTTCCTTCCGACTCGGTGAGATCGATCTATTTTAATCTTCTCTCTGGCATCAGGGATTTGCAAATTTTCTTCGAGGATTTTATAAATCTTGTCGCTCGTGTTTTCTTTTTCATCTTCTTGAACATTGTAAAAGAGTAGGTTGTCACGCATGGATCGAGCCTTGAGATCAATCACGCTGTCTAGCAGATGTTGATTTGCTTCCTCTAACGCGCGGATTTTTTCTTTGTTTTCCTGATCAGATCTCTTTGATTCTACCACCTCTTCCTTTAAGTCTTTCACTTCGGCGTGAGCGAATTCAATTGAATTTTTCATCTCTGATAACTCTCGTTCAACGTAAACGATGCGTTGCTTAATTTCATCCAACGTGTCTAATTTCGCTATGACGGCTTTGATCATATCGAACATTTCGTCAATTCTGTCCATTTCTGGTCGTTTTTCTCCGTTTTTTCCTGGCAATCTGCTTGGTGTTTCATTAACTTTAGAGGCATTCATGTTCTTTTTATCAATTGAAGTATTTACGGTAAATTTTGATTCTTTTTGAGCGCTGCTTCTCAAAGCGTGCTTCGACATGATATATGGAAAAGATTGTACATATACACTTTCCCGCAAAAAAGAACGCCTGTTTTTAAATCTTGCAAGCTGAGCTTGTACCAACGACCTAAGGAACTACAGACCTCCGCTCTACCAACTGAGCTATCGCAAGAGAATGTTTTAATCACGCGAAAAATCCTTCAAAATACATGTGTGTCTGGTCGCGCTACCTGTCACATTTGGCCCAGGCTTGCCCAGCAGAGTGACGCCATAGTTTTGCATACTAATTACTTCCGGCATCTAAGTTTGCATACTAATTACTTCCGTCCCCAGATGGGGTGTATTACTACTCTCATTTATACGTTCTAAACTTCAAAACATGCTGTCTAAACTTCCATGTCAAAAATCCGTTCTAATTAGCCTTTTCGCAAAAGAGATCACAGTGAATTCTGGGATCGTTTAGAGGGACAAAATATATGGTGACAGGCGTCAAATATGTGAAAGAGTAGAAGTATCTACTATCAAATATCAACTTTATATATTAGACGACCAAAAATGAAATATCTCCATTTTACATTAAACTTTTAATTAGTAAATGTGTGCTGCCATATTTCTTGTCCCTTCAACATGGAATTTGCGCGGCTAGACCCAGGACTTTGGGAAATGGCCAGTCGGCTTCGCTAATTTGACATCTTTACCATAATTATCCATTTCCCTTCCCCTCTGCTCCCTTCCTAACCCCTCAAAAAAGAAAACGGACTTTGCGAAAGTCTAGTTGTTTTTGACATTTATAATTAGGCCCGGTCACTAATTCAATATCAGAAACCTTAACAGACTAACGTTGCGGCACTTTGTAGAATAATAATAAGTCGTTAAAAATATATATTTATTCGATACGTCAAAATAGTTGCTAAATGATTGCTTGAATATTATCTTAAATTGAGAAATCAAATTCATTTACCTCTACTGTAAGAAGTACGTTTTCAATTAGAACGTACAAGTAATGTACAAGTCAGAATGTACAAATCCTTGGCGGCATACAGGGCCGTAGCGACAGGGGATGAGGGACCCCCCCCCCCCCCCCTAATAATTGCTCATGAGCAATTTCAGGTAGATTTCCAGTAGATTTTCAGGTAAATTCAGGTAGATTTCCAGCAGATTTTAGGTAAATTCAGGTAATTCTCAGGGCATAAGAAAGTGAATTTGGAAAATATTTATATTTGTAGAAAATTTTTTTGTAATTTCGTAAAAATGAAGATATGTACCAGTCGCGTCATCCTCGAGAGGTTGATGGCTACAAATTTCATTTCTTCGGTTCAGTGCATGCTATGAAGACAGAAATACAACCATTCGATTCAGAAATAAAAGATCAACTAATCTCAAACGATAGTTATAGTCATTATTAACATTGTAGCGATTTATGGGCCTTTGAAAGTCAAACAAGATCGTATTTTTAGAGGAATTACTGTATTACAACGCAGAGATGTTGTTTCGCTGAGCTTCGGAAAGTTCCGTATCGAATAGGTGCTTTTTTGCGCCGCTACGGCATAGTAAAAACGTAGCCCATACAGAGTTGTGGTTAAAGAACCGAACTGGAATTCGGGTGAGACATGCACGTGGGTTCAAAGATCCTATTTTAAAAACTCATTCGATTCGTGCATGTCTTTTTTCCTGAGTTGCACTCGAAACCATATTTACTTACTTATTAACTTTACAACCTTTTTATACATGCACAAATAGATATTAGTTTAAGATTATATATTTACACAGACTGATAGATGAAGGACAAATATTATGTTGAAGGTATAGTCAACAGCGCGAGGTCAACAGGGAAGAATCCCATATTATAAGACCAATCCAAGAAAGACAACAACTGTTATAAGTGTCGGGATATTCTTCAACAATTTAAAATAAATTAATGATATTTGGTGAGAAAATTAAACTTGAGGCGATTGATACACCGGGTGGAAAGCGTAATTTAAAAATGAAAATTAAAGCCCAGCAAATGACTTTCAGACAAGACATAACAAAAATATAAAATTTATTGGCTAACGTTTCGTTGTATTATTCACAACATCTTCAGAGCAATTCAATTTATTTACAAATTTAAACTCATTTCTTGATAAAATGTATAACTCTTGAGATAAAGTTCATACTTGCTCTAAAAAGGTTATATATTTTTGTCTTCCTTTTACTGGTCATCATGGTTTGCAAATTCGATCACAACTTCAGAAATTTATTTCTTCTGCCTATCCACATATTTCCTTACGTAAAGTCCTTCTTTCCGTCTTTCCAACTTCTTTCCATTTAAGGACAAAATTCCCTGTGAAATGAGACCGCATGTTGTATATTTGTATAAGTGTCAATGCTGTGGTGCATTGTATGTTGGTCAAACTCGCCGACACATACATGCACACGCGTATCTCTGAACACATGGGTATTTCACCCTTGACTGGAAAGAAACGTTCTGTTTAAGTTTATATGTATACAGCTATTTCAATTAAGGTTGTCCCCCGAGCAAAGCGGAAAAGTCGAATACGAGCGCGAAAGGCTGCTGGGAATCGCTAATAAATTCATTCATTTATTAGCAATTCCCAGCAGCCTTTCGCGCTCGTATTCGACTTCTCCGCTTTGCTCGGGGGGACAACCTTAATTGAAATAGCTGTATGCATATATAGTCATTGTCGGTTATGTTTTTTTCATTATAAAATCAGCATGATTTCTGTATCAGATATACAAACTCCTTCACACTCATGCTTTCTTTTGTGTTTTTTTCTTCATGAATGTTTAATGAGTTTCACAACGACTATATTTAAAGACACAAACACACATTTACACATGCACTGATATATATTTGAACAAAATATTAACACGAAAAGAAGTGGCGAAGCTAACCATGACAACAATTCATGCTATGCTAATATATAAACCTGCATCTACATATAGGTTAAAGCCAATGCGTTTCTGAAAATTTATTGAATAATTTGCAAATTATTAAAAATTTTCGGCATAGCATGACCTGTTAACCACCTGTTGCTATATGGTTAGCTCCGCCAAATGATGAAATGTACATGAAGTTAACCATTAATTAAGTATTTAAGACTAACAGTTATACGGATTTTTTTCGCGTACCAATAAGTCTTCGCAAATACCGCCCGAATATAAATACAAAACAGATATATTAAGGCCATGCTGTTACTGCCTTATGACATGCTAGCAATATATATCTGCTAACATCATGATATTGCGTGGGTGTCTTTGTCTGTGACAAGAGGTCTCAGTGCATGAACATTAATTATTATACTAAACCACAGGAAATGTGTCAAGAAGCAAGCCAAATTAATACTATATAGGCTGTCAAACCGTCTGATCATGTTCCGTTCAATGGTTACTACCAAAACAATTGTCAAGTTAGTGTTAATACTGTCCTTTGTGATAACATGTTATATAATGTATAATACTCCCTCTAGAATGGAAAGGAAAGCTATTATATCTGAATATCTAAAACGAACAAGGAATTCGAGCTCATCTTTGAGAAAAACAAAGAAGAAACTGTTATTATTTGTTGGCATACATAGCGCTCCATCACGTCTTGATCGAAGAAATGCCATCCGTGAAACATGGATGAAAGAAAGTCGTCGGAATCCTAATGCTGTTTGCCGTTTCTTTACTGACGGACAAGACCCAAAGGGACAAGCGTTGCAAGGAGAGGAAAGAATCAAACTTGAAAGCGAGAGTCATGTTTACGGAGATCTTCTCCTAGCTGAGGCACCAGGAGGGGTTAACTTTGCTGTAAAGTATCTCTGGATGTTACAATGGGCGAACGAAAGATACGACTTTCAATATTTTCTTCGTCTTGATGACGATTATTTTATTTGTTTTCAAAAATTGATGCTGGAATTAGCAATCTTTCGGCCGAAGGATAAATTTCAATGGGGCTGGCTGCATTGTTCGATTAAAGGTATATATGGATGAAAATTCAGCTACTTTTGCATGGTATAGTTTTAGTTAAATTTGGATCGCCAACAATCAATATGAGGCCAGGTTTTGTGTTGATAATAATGCCGATTACAGACAAGCACGTTTTTTATATATTGCGTTCAACCGCAATCAAATTATCGTAAAATTTTCTTTGTTAGTATTACCCATACAGACGAATCGAATGCAAAGACGAGCAAAATTTGAATTTTGTCAATTTTTTCTATGACAAGTGCATGCACTAATATGCTAGCTTTTGAACTTGTGTGCTTGTCAATGAACGTTCACACACAAAATATATTATGCAGATATAATGAACTTTTTATTGTTGCAATGGTTAGAATACTTGAGAGAATATTTTCATTCGACGAAAGATGCGGAATTTTTCATTCCACGGAGCGATATAGCTGAGCTCAGAATTAGATTGAATGAAGTTTGTAAAATCTCGCGCAAGCTTATCGACTGATCCCCGCACAATGAGCTCTATATATACAGCTAATTCCAAAAAGGTTGTCCTTTGCAAACTCTAAACCTTGAACCTTAAACTCTAAGCGTGCAAAGCATAATGGGAGCATCATTTAATCAGTTTAGAAATCATATATGGTGCCCATGCATTTCTTAGAGACATGGTAAATATATCCCAGCGGCCAAAATGACGTTTATTCAACGGCTGCAATATTCAACCACTAAGTTTGAAACTTGCCGGTCCCATTAAGCTCTGGACGCTGAGATTTTAAGGTTTGCAAAACGGACAACCTTTTTTGAATTGGCTGTATATCTGGAGCAAGAACTTCAGTCATTCGGCCTGACGGAAAAGTGAAGCCAAAAGATGGCGGAAATTGACGACCATGCATGCAGTAGCTATGAAGGTCGTAAACAGTCTTAATCCCATTTTTCCAGATAGTACTAGCAGATTTTGTTCGAACGGACCGTATCGCTAATCAAGTTATCAGTATATAAAACCATAGTACTATTCTTTAAACTCGAAGTCAAAATACGAAATTTCGGCACAGTCTTGCAGTCCGCGCATTCAGACAAAAATAATAGAAAGTGACTGAAACTAACGTCCAATACTCAATAACTCCATCGTTGGCTTCACTTTTTGACTCGAGTCTTCGCTCCATAATATTATATATATGAAGCTCACTGCATGTCTCCGCAGAGCTTCCCAGATTTGGATTGTATTAGATCCATTCTGATTGGTTAACTGTAAGGAACTTTTGACTTTGATATTCAAAACAGAAATTATGTTTTCTTAACAATATATTGATGTTTATTGCAAGTTTTACCTTTCTCTATGCTTCGAACATGATGTTTCGATACAAAAATGTTCCCAATAGTTTGAAGATTAATATGATATCCGACTGAGCATATGAAATGCAACAAGCGGTTGAAAATAACAGCGATTGTATAGGAGCGCGATCTGGTTTGTTTGCGCCAAGGCCGGATTTTGGTGGAAATGCTGGGGCAGGTGGAATATATTTAGGGGAGGTGCAGCGTCTAGCCCACGGTCCCATGGAATGTTAGGCCATAGAATATAGCCCCCTGCATATTTGAAAGTCAACTACATGACGTATGCATGTGCTGTACATATGCATCAGTGTATTAATGAATTATGACTATACGACTCATCCAATATGTATAGGTTATTTTGAGGCAACGAGGGGATATGTGATTTATTCACCAAGGCGCGCAGCGCCGAGGTGAATAAACACATATCCCCGAGGTGCCTCAAAATAACGTACTTATTTTTCACATTGCGAGGTTGCGTTAATGAGTCAGAATAGAAATAATTCTTAATGCCATATTGCCTTCGTTATGTTGGTTTTTTCTCTCATTTTTTGTGCTGCAAAGACATTACAGGTGAATATTAGAGGGGATTATTAAACGGAAATTGATTAGAGGGGAATATTGCATATATTCCCCGATAAGAACAAAGGAAACCGAGCAAGGTGAAAATTAATAATCTTCATTGCATTACTGCAAAGTTTATTTCGAAATATTCCATTGAAAGGGCACTTGATGACGAGATGATATTGATGAATAGTTATCAGTTTTTCAAGTGTAGACTCTACACATAAAAATTTCACTTTGATCTACCATTTAACCTTTCCCAAGGGGAGGTGCATGACTTTTCAAGGGAGGTGCAAAAAATCTCAGGGGAGGTGGAAAACGATCTCAGGGGAGGTGCCCACCTCCCCTCAAAATCCGGCCATGGTTTGCGCAGGGCGCTGTATAAAACATGGTTTACGTTACCGATCCGACGAAATTCAAAGCAGTAGCCACCAGTACGGTTGGTCTGGTACTCATCGGAGCATCGGGAAAATTCCCGAGCCTTAATTGCGTCGATATTATAGCTAGAGCCTATAGACTGAGCTATAATAATAGAGGTTATTAGGATTTAGGAGTAATATTGTAAGGAGTAACATTACGGTTATTACAACCTTGCATTGCTTATAAAACAACCCAGGAAATGCAAGAAAAAGGTTGCCAGAAACTAGAAAATCAAAATTTTCCCGGAGTAGCAGCATGCATGCCCCTAACCCCAATAAATGTTTCTCGCGCTTTCTGCATCCACCACGCACAACCGGGCCACTTCCAGAATCAGATGTTAAACTTTAATCAATCAGAATAATTGAATAAACAGCGCGGTATACTGAACTACCTATTGCCGAAGTTTGTCTAGACGTCGCATCGTGCATGATTAACTTATTATTTTACTTATTTTAGATGCCACGTGGTTGGATGAAGCTTTCTATCTCGTAAGTAAAGATATAGTGATGTCATTTCTTAGCAGGCGTGATACTTTATTATGCTTTGTTTGGGAGAGTCAGGCCATTGGATATTGGATAAAAGATATTCCAAATATAAAGACATTTGCAGATAACGAACGAATTATACATCTTGGAACGGGATTTAATTCAAAGAAGAACGTGCTCAGACGAAAAGAGATATGCCACTCAGTCCTTGCCGTTCATAAAAGTTATCCTAACAAGATGAGAGTGTTTTGGAGAATTTATCAGAAAGAGGACAAGACAACCTCAAGCCACGTACCTCCAATTTCTTATGATTGTCAATATCCACTAGCGATGGATTATATGGTCTGGCGTGAGAAGAAACTGTGGTTTTCAGAACCGAAATTATGCAAAGACAATCCAACATGGAATAGACATGGAGAATACAAAGGACGACAGGGATCTTGATCTGTGGCGCGCCATGGGCTATCATTTTAAGCATGTATCCATAAAAACTAGAATAACATGCAGAGACAAAGAGACTGTTTTAGGAATTTAAACTTTTTTATTCCATTTAAGGAATTTTAGAGATTGCAAGGCCGACCCTACTACGAATTTGATTTAGGCTCTGCCCAGAAATGCTGAAAATACGGAAACTTCAAATTTTCCCCGTGCTACCCATGCAAAAAAATCCGAAATTGAATCATATTCGCTGCATGATGAATCCGATTTCCCATATTACAGCAGTTTCACGTGACATACATGTACCATCTCACCTTGTTTTTGACATTTAGACGAAGTCACTAACGAACGGGCATACTTTCTGGGTATGGTGGGATTGATTCACCAAGACACGAAATCTGCTCAAAAGACAAAATCTATAATGGTATGGTGCGCCGCACCCGTCATAATCTTAAACTTCCAGAAATAAGTTCTGTACCTACTCTCAAATAAGGCTAGAAAACTGTATAAATTCATTTTAAACGTCATTTAGTTCTGGCAAACGTCAAATATTCTTCTTAAACTGTCAAATATGCCTTTCAAGTTATTTCTTATTTCTCTATTCCAATTATTTTAAGTTAGCTCATTAGTAGTAATAGACCCCCTCTGGGGACGGAAGTAATTAGTATGCAAACTTAGATGCCGGAAGTAACTAGTATGCAAACTATGGCGTCACTCTGCTGGGCAAGCCTGGGCCAAATGTGACAGGTAGCGCGACCAGACACACATGTATTTTGAAGGATTTTTCGCGTGATTAAAACATGCTCTTGCGATAGCTCAGTTGGTAGCGCGGAGGACTGTAGTTCCTTAGGTCGTTGGTTCGAGCCCAGCTCGCAAGATTTAAAAACAGGCGTTCTTTTGGCGGGAAAGTGTATATGTAGCTCGGAGCTTAATTCAAAATAACGAACCTTTGAAAGTCTATAGCTTGGAGCCTAGTCTAAATAGCTCGGAGCCTGGCTCGGAGCCGGTCCGTTCGAAGCATATAGTCTTTAGTTGACAACGCTTAGTTCATGTCTACATGGTAAAGCTACTGCCTCTTCGACTACGAAAAATGGTACATTTTATTCTGTGAGGAAAAAACTTTTAGAACAGTTATAATATATTTTGCCATAAAAAAATTAATCAAATATGCGGTTGCTATATACGTTGCTATGTGTTGCCAGTCATTAGCGACGCTTGGGTGCATGCATATATTAATGTACAACATATTTGTACACCAATCAGGCGGGCGGGTTAGGCAAATCGTCCGGGTGGGAAAGAGCTGGCTTTGCAGGCAAGAGTTTGCACAAGATTTCAGTTTTAAAATACATTTATTTCTTCAAAACGTTTTACAAAATTTAGTACGGTCTACTTCTGAGAGCATAACGTCTAGGGATTTTTGTTATTTTTATGCTTCTAATATATATCGTCACTTGTTGGAGATGTTTCGCTTTCAGATTCATCGTCGTGGCTGCTTTCATCATCGCAGTCGCTTTCATCTTTCGTAATCCATTTGGGACGTCTTGGATCTTCTTCCAGTTTTTGCTTCTTGACTTATGATAGATTGCTGCGTTGACTTTGCCTTCTTTTGCTTCCATGCCCCGTTTAACGCAGAAGAGTCCTTGCTCCTTGCTCAACAAAGTCTTTAACAACTTTCCCTCTGTGAGTCTTTACAGATTCTCTTACATTTTTTCCTTGCAGTACATCTTAATCGACTTCTGTGGCTGCTTGTAATGCTCTTTTGCCAGCAACTTTAGCACCTTGTTTGAATAGAGGGATAGCATATCTCGCAAGGCTCTTGAAAATACCTCCGATCCCATAACCTCTTTGAAAACGTGCACCACGATACCCAGCGTAAACGGATCAAATATCACTTTGTTCGCCTCTGATTTTATGTCTTTTATCCGTACTAACGTCCATAATTTCATCACAATGACAATGTTGGCAACAGGCGATTACATGCATGAAATTTCCTTCGGACAGTCGAAAATCACAGATCGTACAGTGACACCTTTTACAATTTGGATAAAAATCTGTCCATGTGCATATAGGACACGTGGCCAAGTGGGAGATGTCTAAATCTTTGTTACAACCGTTACAAACTGTGTCCATGTCTTCAGCCTCATCCTCGGATTTATCAGACTGTCTATCCTGATGGGACCACTTGTGGGCTAGCATTGTGAGGACACGCCCATTTACGATTAGGCTTTTATCAATTTCCAATTTTGCAACACCTTGAGAAGTATATTCAGTCCAGCCGGTTATGGAATTTCAGTATTATATGGTAAAACAGTATATTGCAAAAGATCTACAATATTTGTTCCACGTATATTCTGTCCATTGTATACAATTTCCCCTTGAAGATTCCATGAGAGAATGTCCGTTGATGTGAGAATGCAGTGAAGAAGTTCTTCAGCATTGTTTTTATCAACATTATCGTTTAAGTGTCCAAGTGTATTTTCAACAAGCCAATGTCTCGGAGATGATCTTTCCTTGCTGTCCATGGTTAGAATGGCAATGTGAATTAATGATGGTTATTTTATATACTAATTCTGCAAGGCGCTCTAAAAGTGGTGCAAGCACCAATCCTAGAAAACCACTTCCGCACTGAACAAGAATTTTCCTTTTCTTTCTAAAACTCCTACTTCTGTCCGCTAAGTCAGCGAGATCGTCTTTAAATGGTCCAAGTTTGTTCAATGTTCCTTTAAGATATGTAAAGTTTTCCAAGCAATTACATAGAAATCGAATCTGTTCATGAGATGCAGAATTCAACAGAGCTTGCTGTTGAATTGGACGAGAAATACACAAGAGCTCCACAAACGGTTTGTGTTTGATATAACTGCTAGTCATCTCTGTTCGGCAGTCAATAACGGAATGAAGACTTAGTTGGAAATAACACATATATAAGGGTCGGTTCGCCATCTACAGACTAGGTCTAGACAATAGTCTTAATTGTCTTTACTATAGTCTTAATAGTCTTTACTGCAGTCTTCATAGTTATGACTATAGTCTTTCATAGTCTTTACTAATAGTTTTCATAGTCTTTACTGTAGTCTTCATAGTCAGGACTATAGTCTTTCATAGTCTTTACTATAGTCTTAATAATCATGACTATAGTCTTTCATAGTCTTTGCTATAGTCTTAATAGTCATGATTATAGTCTTGATAGTCTTTACTGTAGTCTTCATAGTCAGGACTATAGTCTTTCATAGTCTTTACTATATATAGTCTTAATTGTCATGACTATAGTCTTAATAGTCTTGACTATAGTCTTAATAGTCTTTACTGTAGTTTTCACAGTCAGGACTATAGTCTTTCATAGTCTTAATATTCATGACTATAGTCTTTCATAGTCTTTACTGCAGTATTCATAGTCATGACTATAGTCTTTCATAGTCTTTACTATAGTCTTATTAGTTATGACTATAGTCTTAATAGTCTTTACTGTAATCTTCATAGTCATGACTATAGTCTTCATAGTGTTTACTATAGTCTTAATAGTCATCACCACAGTCTTTTAGCTATGACTATATCCAACGGAATAAATATACCTCTTCGCCCTTGCTTTACATCATTTTACTCTGACTCTTGAGATGTAAACATGTAATATCAATGCAATATATGCGGTAAAACGTTTGCAAATGCGAGTAATCTCCTTCGCCACAAGAAGGTTGTCCATGCATATGGAAATCGTAATCTTGGACAACAAACTCTTACGGTGAATGGAGTTACAGTCATGCAGCATCCTTTTACGTGCATCGTAGCTGGGTGTAAACTGAATTTCCTTACACCGCTACCAACAGAAGAGGAACGACCAAAACTCAAGCACAACTTTTTCCACAATTGTGTAGACTCTGCTGATTGGAAAGAAAGTGACCTGGTGGTGTACAAATATGTTGTACATTAATATATACATGCACGCAAGCGTCGCTAATGACTGGCAACGCATAGCAACGTATATAGCAACCGCATATTTGATTAATTTTTTATGGCAAAATATATTACAACTGTTCTAAAAGTTTTTTCCCCACAGAATCAAAATGTACCATTTTTCATAGTCGAAGATGCAGTAGCTTTACCGTGTAGACATGAACTAAGCGTTGTCAACTAAAGACTATGCTTCGAACGGACCGGCTCCGAGCCAGGCTCCGAGCTATTTAGACTAGGCTTCCAAGCTGTAGACTTTCAAAGGTTCGTTATTTTGAATTAGGCTCCGAGCTACATATACATTTTCCCGCCAAAAAGAACGCCTGTTTTTAAATCTTGCGAGCTGGGCTTGAACCAACGACCTAAGGAACTACAGTCCTCCGCTCTACCAACTGAGCTATCGCAAGAGCATGTTTTAATCACGCGAAAATTCCTTCAAAATACATGTGTGTCTGGTCGCCCTACCTGTCGCATTTGGCCCAGGCTTGCCCGAGTGACGTCATAGATTTTGCATACTAGTTACTTCCGGCACCTAAGTTTGCATGCTAATTACTTCCGTCTCCAGGGTCTTTTACTACTCCTGTGCCTACTGTACATGTATTTTTACATCAATTTGACTACTATATGTGACTACAAATTAGCTCACATTTATCATTTGTTTTATTGCAGGAGAAAAGTCAGAACCCCAGCAATTTCGAAAATATTTACATATTCCAGGTGTGTTCTATAATAATAGACGAGAAAGCATTTACTACTGGCGTGCAAAATACCAAAATGTGTTGTAAAACGATACGCTAGAAGAGTTTTTTCCACATACTTTGAGGTGTGTTAAGTTTATCATGTAAAGAAAAAATCAAGATGGTGGACATACTACGTACTTTATCAGGCATAGAAAATATATTTTTCTTCCACGCAGCAAAATCCAATATAGAAACTTCATGTGCAAGTCAAATATAAAACCTCCTCTAGATTTCAGGGAAAGTATGGTGCCGTACATTGTGATAAACTTCAATCAAACGCTATTGTAAACAATTTAAAGTGTCCTAGATCACTTGTGGGACCTTTATGGATTTGAAAAGAGCGTAAAAAGTAATTTAATAAGTTCAAAAGATTCTTTTGATTTAGTGCAATAATTTCGAAGATACAGAGCCTCTAAACTACCTACAGGGTCGGCGGTCAAGGTGACCGGCCAACTCAACTTTAGCTCGGACATACCGAATTTCTGGCCGGTCAAATTATTCAGCTTAAAGCATAGCCTTGTAAAGTATACCCCTAACAATGTGACTATTTTCCCAGTATAGCAATACAAAACGACTAACAGTAATCAGTAATTAAAAACTCCTTCACATAAAACAGCTTGCACTGCGCTAAAAGCATGACCTTAACTCTTAAACCAAAAGCATGGTCATGGGCTTTGTGACGTCCTTCGTGGGAAAGTTCTTTTCCCGCAAAACATTCGACAACATGTTATGGTTCTTAATTATAATACTTGACAACTTTATTTTGATTATTAATTCAAATGAAGATTAGTTTGTTCTTTTACCGAAAGTGACCGGTCAAAATGACCGCAAGGTAAGAAGTTGACCAGACAACTCCGCATTCTGGCCAGACATTGTCCGTTGACCGACCGTTATTTCGCGCCCTGCAGTTCCTGAGTCCCAGGCTCCTATGCACAATGGACAGTTTGGAAAAACGCCAAATTCAATAGCCGTGTTTAGAGCCCAGGAGGCTGGGACTCAGGAACAGTCCGTTGTTTAAAGGCCTATATCCTTAAAAC